TATTTTTTATTTTATTTTTTTTTTTTTTTGTGTAGGAGTAAAGCATATTATAGCTTAATTACTATAGTTTCCAGAAAAGTCAAATGATCCCATTAATGCTTAAAAATGTCCTATAAAGCCAATATAAAATCTGAGCTACAGAATATTAATTTAATTAAAGTTTATCCACATACAATTCCTCTGTACAATCTATGATAATCCATATGTTTCGAATTTGAATTTAGATAAGGTTTCACCCAAGTACCATCCACATGCGTTTAGCAACCCTTTTGACGCCTGCGCGCCCTCGTTTCGCAAGCATCTAGCCTGACATTTTACGTGTGTCTGTCGCGCGTTATTACGCGGTCCAAGCATGCGCACATATTCAATTACACGGCCAACAACAACAGCAACGACAATAGCAACAGCAACAGCAACAGCAGCAGCAATAATAACAACAACATGAATAGCCACAACGATGACAAGAGCGTTGCATTAACAATAAGCCGAGCAACCCCCAAGTCCGTTGCGTGCCTAAATGTGCCCCTGTTAAGAGTCGTCGATCCGTCGATCCGTTCGCCATGTGCAGTTGAAAAAATGTTCTCACACTCTCGAAAAGATTGTAACGGCTTGCTGTTCAGCACACTCTCAGCACGGCATCGGCATCATCATCATGCTCTGCCATCTCATCCCCCTGCGCATGCAATGCGATTGCCTTGCTCTAAATCCCTCTCTCTCCCTCTTCCTCTCCCTCTCGCTCTCACTCTCACTCTCGCCCATGATCGGCTGCTCGCACTTCCTGCCCGTGGCCAAACTGGCCACGTATATTGTTTATATAGTTAAAGAATGCGATACATTTAATCTTTAGTGTGTGTCAATTTGCCGTACAGTCATTTAGTTTGCATGCCCCGCATCGTCCCTACAGCGTCCCTACATGCTCGTTACCCGATTCCTGGCTGCCCGGTCCCACGACGTGCCCAGGCATGCCACTTAGCGTGGCCCAAGTGTTCAACAGAAGCTACAATTCAGCATTCATAATTGACAACAAGAACAACAACAGCAACAGCAATAGCAACACCAACAATAAGAACAACAGAGATAGCAACAACAGCAGAGAGGAACCTCTGGGCCACGTCTGGCAAGAGAAAAAAAATTAAATAAAAGGCAGGTGGTAGTTTTTTCGGTGGTACTGTCCACACCACTCGCCATGACTCGATCTTGGGCACGGTCAGATTTACAGTGGGGCAAGCGCAGAAATAATGCTGATAAATTTAGATTAATATACGGGTTTCAGCTAAAATTGATACAAAACTAAAATAATATTTTATAATTACATAACATGTTAATCTAGATGAATATTTAATTAAATATATCAGAAAAAAGTATGTATTCATAAAAATTTCAAAGCTTAAACTTTATATTTTTACAATACCAACATCATTTTAAAATTCCATTTTTTTTTCATACTTCCCACGTTAATTTGCCAAACCTGTAAAATAACTTAGAGATCTATTCACACCTACTTAGTCCGAAAATCCCTGGGCGTTGTCCATTTGAAATTCAACCTTGTACCTTCACTTTACCACTCGCAATATTTCCAAAAATTCTTTCTCACAGTGAGTACCGAATTACCGGAGACTAACCGTATCAAGTACAGAACATGCCACGTTTATTCCACAACAGATCTCTTAGTTTTCTACCTTGCACTACCTTGCAATACCGAAAACTTTCACGACTTTCATTCCCACGCACAGGCAGTACTCGAAAACCCTGAAACTAGCCACATCAAGTAAGGAACATGCCACGTAAAATCCACAACAGATTTTCAGCGAAGCTGCAGAATTTTACACAGCAAGTAGTAGAAGAAACACGTAGTGGAAAGTCCTAAAGTTCATTCAATTCCGTTTTGTACAAAATTTCCGCATGTGTTTCGCCCACTGTGCAATGTGCATAAGGGCTCAAATCGAAGACTCTGTATCTAGCTCCCTCTCTCTCTCGCTCGCTCTCTTACTCTCTTACTCGCTCACCCTACACGGCCGAGCGATTATAACTTATAACACCAACGAGCGAGAAAAATCTTGTGGGAAACTTGAGGGCAAAGTGTTTCCCACGATTCGAACGTCAATGTAAAAGAAAACAGAGAAGAGCTAAAAGCGGCAACAACAACAACAGCAACAGCAACAACAACATGCTGAACATGTGCAACAACCACCATCAGCAGCACCACCATCGACCACCGACACCACCAACACACAGACAGACGCACCATCAGTTTCATCCCCTGCCAAGACACAACAAACTTGTTTGCCGAGCCAACCAGAGAAAAACCAACCACCAGCAGGCGAGGATCGCTGCAAGGCGCAGACGCAGACGCTGACGCAGAGGCAAACGCACCGAGAGCCGATAACCGAAATACAGACACGAACCGAAGCGAGCCGAGCGACTGAGTAATTTGCTCGTCAGGTGGTGTTGTTTTTGTTGTTTCCACTCTCTGCCGTTGGCTCTCTTTGTGCGTGCGCTGAGCACGAGACGCAGTCGACGTCGACGCCGGCACGTGCAGCTATAAAAGCAGCGGTAACTGGAGATGGCAGCAGCATTCTCAACGCAATCGTCGTGCAGTACACATCGTACAGCTCAACTTACATTCAAACAGACATCGCCAAACAACGCAACATGGCCACCAAATACGAACAATCAAAGACTTATCAGTACCGCAAGGTGATGAAGCCCCTGCTGGAACGCAAGCGTCGCGCACGCATCAACAAGTGCCTGGATGACCTCAAGGATCTGATGGCCGAGTGTGTGGCCCAGACTGGCGATGCCAAATTCGAGAAGGCCGACATCTTGGAGGTCACCGTTGATTATCTGCGCAAACTGAAGCAGTCCAAGGCCGCTAATTCCAATTCTAATGCCAAGGCCGCTGCATCCGCCACTGAGCACAGTTTCCGTGCCGGCTACATTCGTGCCGCCAATGAGGTTTCCCGTGCACTGGCTGCACTGCCCAAAGTTGATGTCGCCTTTGGCACCACGCTGATGACCCACCTAGGCATGCGCCTGAACCAGCTGGAGCAGCCCATGGAGCACACAGCGCCAATGTCAATGAACACACCACTCAGCATCAACTGCGACTCCGTCTATTCCAGCAAGAGCAGCAGCAGCAGCAGCTCCAGCAGCAACCGCGACACCTACAGTCCCGTCTCCAGCGGGTACGCCAGCGACAGTGATTGTGGCTCAACCACGCCCATTGCCGCCCAATCTCTGCTGCAGATCAGCAACAACGGCACCAGCGTCTGGCGTCCCTGGTAAAGGAGTCGTAATTAGCTCCGCAGTCATCGGGACACGCACGCAATCGCACTGTCGCTTTACAAAGCTTTACAATGATCTTCATTTTGCCTCTAATTAAGTGTTACGCAGTTTTCTAAGTTAGGTCTGTGATAGGGCACGTTTTATTGACTCCATTATAACAATTAGCCAGAAGTCTGTTAGCCAATACAAATGTTTCTAGAGTTTAAGCAAAAAACATAACAAAACAAAACACACAAAAAAAAAATTAAAACATAAATATAAACAAGAAATATGAAAAGAAAAATACTTGCCTCTTTTATTTAAAAAATTGATCATATTTATTTATTGCAGCATCTTGAACTCAAATCAGAATAAGCTGTTGGAATTTAATTACTCTTACTCAGGTGTAGACACACCATTTTCTAATTGGAATCCTATCAAAAGATAATTATAATTTAATTATATTTAAAAAATTTGTTAATATATAATGATTTTCTACCAAATGAAATATAATTATATTAAGTTTGAAAGCAATTAGAAATGTCTATGAATACACAATTAGACACTATATTTTCCCTTTGTTCCACTGTTTATTTTTTTTTTACATTCAAATCAGTTAGATAATAGCTATAAGATTTATGAACCTGCATTAATAAAAATATATTTAACTTGAATTATATCACTAATTAAAATAATACACGATGTTAGAAGTTAGAAATATATATTTCTTTTGTTTCTCTATTATCAACACATATAAAGAAATATAAAATGTAATACAAATAAATCTGTTTAATGATTACATTTTTATTTTAAGAATAATATTTTTCAGCAAGTTATATATATATAATAATTTTTTTTTTAATATGTGGTATGTATAAATATTTCTATATTCTGTATTCTATATTCTGTAGAAAATAACTCAAATCTGAATATAAAAATATAAATATACATGTCCAATTAATATATGTACATACATATGTAAGACTGATTGACTTAAGACCAATTAGATACATATTCAATTGAAATCTGTAAAGATACATACATATATATTCAGGTCTGAGCCACGCCTTCTTCTGACCGCTCCTATACCATTTAACAAAGCCATGAAAAACCTGAAATCAAATTTTATAATGTCTGAAATAATAATGCAAGTATTAACTGCATTTTTTATTGCACAAATATGAAAATATAATGTACAAAATCAATATTTTTTATTAATTCTAAGCTAATAAAAGTATGAAATACACATATTCTTTAACATAGTTTATATTAAAGGAAATATAGAATATAATTATCAATGTTTATTATCAGCTGCAATCCTTGTAAATTATTATAATTGATACAATCAAAACTCTCTATTATCAACCCTCTGTTATATCCTATCGCATCCTATGTCTTAACTAATTAGACCAAATTGACAAATATAAATTCTTATTAGCGCTGCTCATGCTACAAAAGGGACTACTTATACATAATTTAGGTAATACAAACATCTATTGATTGCTAATCTAAAATGTTAAATAGTATCAAGCTCCCAACTCAATTTCCAATCAATTAATAATGTGTCTGCTAGGCGTGAAACACAATCAATTATTGCTGATAATTCTTAGCTGAGCACTAAAGGTTAGAGGTCGAGGGGAGGATTGCAAGTAAGCCCACCGATAACCCAGTGCACCCAGCGATCACCTTTGCCCGGTCCGCGGTCCACGCGCTGCCACGCTTTCAGCGTCCGCCTGACCTGGCAGGCCAAGGCAGAGACAGAGGCCAAAGCCAAAGCCAAACGAAGCCAATATGCCACACTAATTGTGCCCAATAAACACTCATCGGGCAATGGGAACGTGGAAAGCAGGGATCGAGGCAGAGGCCGCATTATGCCATCATCATCTGCATACATTGATGAAACAATAAGCGAGAGATGGCACGGCAGGATAACAATGAGAACGGGAACGACCCACGCACACGCACAGGATGAGGCAGTGAAGTATGCATTAAGGATAATAACACCGGTCTAAAGAGCAACTACAGCAGCAGCAACTGCAGCAGCAACAACGACAGCAGCAGCAATAACAACAACAACAGCAAGAGCGATGCCCAAAACAGCGACAGCTGCAAAATTTGTGCTCTGATCCTTTAAAAAAGCGAAGCATGTGGCCAAAAGGAAAACAAACGAGAGAAAAAAAAATTGTGTGAGAAACTTACTTTCAGGTCGGTTCCCACGCCACGAGCCACAAGGATTGCCGATTGTCCTCCATGCCAGCCGCTCAGTTGCAGCTGTTCCACACAGTTCCAACGCCTGCGTGTCAGAGAGGGAGAGTAGCGTAGCCAGGGGCATGCGCGTGCGTGCGAGCGAGACGGGGTGCGCTCATGCGTAGCCGTGGCCGAGGGTGGATTCTGAACTTGGGCCCTGAGCGAACTATAAAAGCAGGGCACTGCCAACCGAAAGACATCATTCACGATACAGCCAGCAACAAGGCAACCACGAGCATTTTGTACACTGCAAAACGCAACTGAAATTAATAAAACATACACGTAAAAATGGAATACACAACCAAGACACAGATCTACCAGAAGGTGAAGAAGCCGCTGCTGGAGCGTCAGCGTCGTGCGCGCATCAACAAGTGCCTGGACACGCTAAAGACACTTGTCGCCGAGCTACGCGGCGATGATGGCATTCTGCGCATGGACAAGGCCGAGATGCTCGAGTCAGCTGTCGTCTTCATGCGCCAACAGAAGTCAAGCAAATCAACAGAAGCAACTGCAGCAACACCACTAATGCCACTGGAGAGCTTCCGCAATGGTTATATGAATGCCGTCAATGAGGTGTCACGTGTCATGGCATCCACACCTGGCATGAGTGTCGACCTGGGTAAATCGGTGATGTCGCATCTGGGCCGCGTCTACAAGAATCTCCAGCAGTTCCATGAGGCACAAACAACAATGTACGCATCGGAGACGGCCACCGAGTTGAGCATCAACTGCAACTCGGCGCCTCTCAGCCCCGCCTCATCCGGATATCACAGTGATTGCGAGAGTCCTGCACCATCGCCGATGCCAGAGGAGAGCGAGAAACTGTGGCGCCCCTGGTAAAGCATCAGGCAATAGGCAGTAGACAAAAAGAGGGAAAACAAAAGAAAACGCAACTGTGATAACCAACTGTGATGGGAACAAAACAATTAGTAAAGCAATTAAATAAATGCAATTAAGAAACATACAATTATTTGACTTATGAATCATATGGGTTGGGCAAACATATGGCTGACTTTCACTTTTAGCATTGGGCACTGGAAGAGTAAACAAACAAATGCAACAATTTCTTATCGAAATTCTGTTTCCCTTGAGATGAATTCAATGAAGCGTGGGTATTCGGATAATACAAACTTAATTGATTTATATTATTTGTAAGCGTTTTAACGTTAAATTTATTTTCATTTTCAATTAAATTTATTTAAATTTAAATCTAAAATTTATTTATTATTTTTA